ATTAATTAACATTACCTTTATTAATTTAAATAATGAGATTAAGTCAAAGTCACATAACTGACAATTTGCACAGACGAATTATCAGAGCGAATTTTCATATACTGTATTATCCTACTATTGTTACACAATTTATTAACATACTCTTTTTTAGGTTCTTTTGATAACGATAGCAGAAAATAGCTATGGAAACGTCAAGGTAATTTTTCAAATTAATTTCTCTACTAATTGGAATTTTCTCTTACAGCTTGAGCCAGTTGTGTCGCAGGATACCCTCTAGGTGATAGTTCTTGATTACTTTTTGATAAATAATTCGTTCTTATTGCGAAATAGGAGCACTATTTATCAATCTGTAATAAAAGACATGAGGAAATCCTGTCTTTTTTAAAGGCAAAAATTTTTGAAAAAAATTTTGAGGTGAAATACCCTAAAAGAAGTTTTGTAAAAAAATTTGCAAAATAGTTGCAATATATACACCTATCTTTGAACACTTAATTATCGATGAACAGCATGGTCTTTGTAGAGGAAAATCAACTGTGACCAATTTGTCTGTGTATTCTGAGGGCTTGTTGAATGTCATGGTGAGTCATGAGCAGATTGATGCAGTTTATACTGACTTCTCGAAGGCGTTCGACAGAGTACCTCACAAAATTTTAATATTCAAGATGAAAGCTTTGGGACTTGGCGACAATTTATGTCAATGGCTGGAAAGTAACCTTCTTAATAGAACTCAGACAATCATCTTGAATAATCAACACAAATCAAAAAAATATTCTGTTACCTCCGGTGTACCACAGGGTGGACATCCCTCCCTTTGATATTCAATTGCTATTTTAATGATACATGTGTTAATGTAAAATATTGTAAGTTTTTATTATTCGCTGATGATTTAAAGCTTTATTCAGGAATAACCTGTACTGATGATTGTCTAAATGTACAAGCGGATTTAAATGCTCTGAATAACTGATGTGAAGTTAATTTTATGCAATTGAACATGTCTGAGTGCAAGGTTATGGGGTTCTCCCGTCTAAAACAGATAAATTTATTTCCATATATGATAAAACAAGTTGAAGTGGAATCAGTGAATTGTATAAAGGATTTGGGTGTATACTTTGATGCTAAGATTTCATTTAATTACCACATTGATATTACCAAAAATAGAGCCTTAAAAATGTTGGGATATGTTAAACGCACAACTAAAGACTTCAGAAGTGTTAAATGTATAAAAGTGGTGTACATGTCTTGTGTCAGGAGTATCTTGGAGTATGCCAATATTGTATGGTCGCCTAGTTATCATGTACATATAAATAAGATAGAAAGTATTCAAAATACATTTATAAGATACTGCGCCTACAATGCATCTATACCTTTAGATGATTTGGTTTACCAAAAATTACAACATCAATTAGACATTCAAACGCTTGAACATAGAAGATTGGAAAGTGAAATGATATTTTTATTTAAATTAATTAACTACCATATAAATTGCCCTTATTTGCTCAGTAAATTGAATTTCCATGTTCCTAAGAGAACGGTCAGAAGTCAATCTATATTTTACTTGGCAACTCATAACACCAATTACAGTCACTTTATGATTATCGACAGAGTATGCGGAACCGCTAACAATTTAGATTTGCCATTTTTTTATATTTTTTTGGCAGCATTTAAGTCCGAACTAAAGCTGAAGGTACCGATGTAATTTATTTATTGATTATTTATCTGTTATTGTTGTATGTTAATTTTTATTGCATTTTAATATTTTTATACGCATTGTATAATTCGCCATGGATTTTTTCCGTTTAATAAATTTGAATTTGAATTATATATCGATTTTGTGGTTATTGGTGACCGGGATTATAATTGAAAAACAGGCCTTGCACGAATATATAAATACATAAATAAATAAAGACAAATTTCCTCATCAGCTGGATCTCTTACATCTGGTCACGTGCTACCTTTGAAAGAAATTACACTAACTTCATGGTCAGAAACTTTATTTATGATTGCGTGTCTCTAGGATATCAAAGGTCACTTTTTTCACAATTTTTTGTTTGTATTCAATGTGAAGCCACTATATGCTTTGTCCCTTATTATCGATTTTACTTTTGTTTTATATTGTGATTACTGAATCGTTTTATATTAATGACTTTGGAATGACCTTTTTTATTCGTTATGTTTTGAAATTTGCCCCTGAGCAATATTAGTTTTGTTCTTTGTCCCTTAAATTTCATTTTCCTTCTACACTCGTACTCCTTCGTTTCAAATTAAAGACTATAAAAATTTTTTTATTAGTTTTGAACTGAAGCAACTTTTTATAAACCATTTCTACAACCTTGAGGTTGGCTTGGAGCGAAACGTTAGCTGAAAAAATAGCGTTTTCATTTTCTGCCACTATCCATTGACCGATAAACCCAATAAGGAGTTACTATTGCACAATACCAAATAAAAAATTCAAATATATTGAGGTCGAAGTTATTTGGTTCTAGTTAGTTAATAATACAAATAATGTTCAAATTCTGTGTAGAAAATACGACTCCAAAATGGTAAAGTAATGAAATAATTTCACAGCATTTTCTTTAATATTAATGAAGCAGTGCTTTGGGATACGTACTTAAAGGTTTTCTCACTTTGAAATGAAAACTTTCTCACTTCTTCAGCATGGCTTCCGCAAATAGCTGTTCAGTTAGGGTTTCTTCAATCACTTCTCTTTCCGATAATTTTCTCAGAAAATAAATAACATAATATTCCAGTGTTAGCAATTGAAGAAAAGTTACTTGATCTTCATCGTCAAATGCTGCTCATTTTCGCCTAAAACCGTCCAGGTCCAAGCTGAGGAAGTTTTTAAAAAATAGTATTTAACTTAGTGCTTAGGGTTTATGTCAATTGAAGCACAAAAGTGTAAAACTTTGAAATATTCTAAAGAAATTTATAAAAAATAATTTATTTAAAGAAAACTTTTCCAAATATTCTTATACTCCGATACGAGACATCAAGAAAATGCTTTAAGTTAGAATCACCTGGTGTCTTGATAGGCTAAACCTTCAAGTTGTGTGGTGCGCTGCAGGGTTTTAAACACTCTTTACAACAATAAATAATTTAAGAGTTCTGATATGGCTGGTATGTAATTCATCAATGTCCAGACGAACGGCCATGCCGAGTAGTCAGACGACTATACATAAAGTTAATTTTTAAATGGAATTCAAGTTTAAATTATTAGAATCGCCCATGGGCTGAACAAGCTTCACATGGAATTGTATAGGCAAGCCATCGGTTTTGAAAGCAGTGATCATTAACTGTGTGCATTTGTGTGTGTTGTAATTGAAGCTCATTTGATGACGGATTTACCAGTCAGTAACCTCCAAAGCTGGTCATATTTGCAAAACAATTTATCTTATTGTTCGAAAAATAAAAACAAATAATTGTTTCTACTACTACCATGATCAATTAACACCAATTACTTCATGTCTTTGATATCGAGTAATGTCAATAAAATAAATAGCAAAAATGAATAAGCTTGAACAAATAATACTGGCATTTAATGAAAATTAAGATTTTATACAGTAAAAATGTTTAAAGTAATATATTCAATTCAAAATTTTTCCTCAAATCCTCCACAGTTTCGTAGGCAAATTATTTTCTGGCATGAGTTGAAACAAATGCAATTGTCCATGAATAAAAAAAAATTAAAAAAGAAAACAAAATGCATTGGTTTATCGCCTCTACTGAAGGAAACCTCACTGAAGACAAAAGCTATTGATTGCACAATCATTTTGATACCAGTTCCTTTTGCTTAGAAAATCGTTATAATTACACAGAAACTTTCTAACCAGCCGCCCTAACACGTGAAAAAAATGTAAGTACTTACTTGTAGACTTCTGGCGAAGAAGAGGAGACTGTAGCTCCTTCCGCAGGCGAAAACTGCCGTTGATAGGAACATAATGCATAATCCTATCATCATTGGAATGTCGTATCCGATGCGGTCGATCAGTGCTCCAGAGAACGGGTTTATCATTAATTGGACTATTGCCTGAAAATGACAAAGCATAACAATGAATTAAGTTCTAGAGAAATAGGTGAAAAATGAAAATGATAAGATGGGAAAGAACATGTGCACATGAAAACACATACTTACTTTGGAAGCGAAGAGGATGCCGGTAGCTGAGTCTTGGCCATGGTGATTGTGTTTGAAAGGAGTCCCGGGGGGCAGGGTTACGTTTCCCGGAATGGGATCTTCTTCATATGCACCGATGTATCTAAAACATTTAGCACTTGAAACTTGAAACCACGCCCGATATGGACTTGATTTGAACTCAATTATATTGCCTTTAAACAATACTCAACTGAAAATTACGGACTTTCCTAATAAAACTTTAAACGTTTAATCTTGCTGAAATACTGTGATAAGTATTTTAAATGTAAGGTCATATTAATAAAAACAAAGTAAAGTAAATTTATTCCCAGGAGAACGAGTTGTTTTATATTTTTAATTATAAGAAGAAGGAAAAACCCCTTTTTAGTTTGAATAAATATTAGAAAGCCATTCAGGAATAATTTAGCAAGTATGGAAATTCGATAAAATCAGGATAGATCAATTTTTGCATTCACCTTTGTTCGAAACTTCAGAGAAAATTAAGTCTTCTTACAATAAAAGCATATTGAAACCAACTCTCCTACTAAAATGCAACAATAATGTTGCGATACTAAATTATTAGGTATTTTAACATTTCAAAAGTTTGACGCGAAATCCGCTTTCGAAGTACACTCTGGTAACGTTCGTTTATATGGTAGTATTTTCGAATGTGCCGTTTGATTAAATTCAACAAGAGCAACGGAACAATCAAAAAACTTAATATGTAAAAATAGGTACCAAATATAATTATGGACAAATGGAATATTAAACATTATTTGCTTTTGGAACGTTCTATAAAATATGGCTTCAACTTTTGTTTCAATAACTTAATTAATGTCCTTAAAGTTATTTAGATAGATAAATTTTAATAGAGAAACTGTTCAAACCCTAAAAAAACAAAAGTACATTTCAATAAAAAACTAAATTTATGTGGGGAAAACTATAACATTCCAAGTATATGTTTAACTGTTCTTACCAAAATATTTCGTAATAGTTAATAACCGTTATATATGTTGATAAGAGATGGATATCTGAATGTTTGAATCAAATTATCTTGAGTCTATTATTCATTTATTAAAAACGAAAAATCTTTGTAATAAAATTACTTTAAATTTTAATTAAACTTTTTAACGCAATTAACTTGGCCAATATGCAAATCAGAAATAGGCTTAAAAGTTAAAGTTGAGATGAAAAATATTGATCGAAAATTAAAACAGAAGGTTTCAATTAATTATGCAAAATTGAAGTTTGTACATTTCATTGCTTAGTACAATTGTATAGAGAAATTACATAGTTTTAAGGACATACTAATTTGAAAGAATAAACTTATTTTTGTTTCAAAGTCAAATTTTTGTTTTTCAAAAGTTCTGCCCATTCTTTAGATTTATTTTTATTTAAAGAAGGTTTTGTTTCATCAGAACGTATCTGTTGAAACTGAATATCTGACAATATTCAGTTGAGCCCCCATTCTTAGATTGGAGCTCATTTTCATTCTTTCAAATTTTAATTTCACATCATAACTGCAAGATAAATGAACATTAAAAAAAAATTGTATTGTTGCGACTATGTGACATCCCAGGAATTCAGATCAATTAAACCGTGTTACAATTGCGAATTTATATTAAATTGAAATTAATTCAAATTCAATTTAGGTTGCAAAATTGAAAACAATTATGATATTAAATCATCTAATCGAATGTCGGTTCTTTTAACAAATGTAAGAGAAGGACAAGGAATCAGAATTGAATTAAAATAAGAAACAATCAAACAGAAATAACATTGCAATGGCAGATTTTCGCATGACCATCATACATCAACTTATTATATATATTATTTTTATATTATTTCGCGGTATTTATTTCGCGTTGTGGGACCGGAATTTTTGTGTGAGGAAATTTCGTTTAACCCACGTGTAGAAAGTGTAATAAATATAAATTTTACACTTTTGAAATATGGACCTCATTTCATGCGCATGTTATTTTTTGTGTGATTTATATTCTTAAATAAGAAACGTTCTTCAAATTTTCACTCACCAAATTGAAAATAATGGTACAAACGCAGAAGGGAATATCAATTCTTGTGTTGCTTTTGCTGAAAATTGCGACGGAAATTCTACTTTGTTACAGGCAATATATTTGAGTTTCAAGAAGAAACGATGATAAAATGAACATTTCTAAACTTACCTAAGATAATCGGGAATAATCGGTACTATAACCATATAAAGCATGTTGTCCAACAGTAACGCAATCGACACTATCACTAACACCAGCTTTCTTTGAGCCTTTGGCTCTTGTAGCTTCGTCCAAATAATCTCCTTGAGTTCGGAGAACTCAAGGTTTATTATTGGTATCGGAGCCATCTTGCTTCGTTTGAGAACTACTTCAAATTACTAATTCAGGAGACACTAAGTTATAGAGCACATAATTTCTCGTCACTGAAGACTGCTGTTGTAAACCTTATACATGAGTTCAATAAGACACTTGCTCTCACTACCGATATCGCGATTTTTCCAAACTCTTCACTTGCTCGGTCGTCTTTCGAGGTAGCCCTCCAGCTCTTGTCTTAAGGGGCGCTGTTGTCGTTGGGGGTTGTTGGGGTTTCAGCACAGTGCCTTGTCTTCCTTAACCTGAACAAAAAAGGTGGATTTACATGCGTTGCCATGACAAGGGGGGCATGGGGAGGCACTGTGCTGATACCCCCAGCCCCCCGTAAGTGGATTGGAACTTGGAGGACCCTAAGCGCAAAAATTCTATTTTAAATTTCATTCGTTCAAATTTTATTCATTAAAATACTTTTCAATTGCTGATTTTAGAGAACAGTGTTATTTTGTTTACTGGATACATTTTTAACTAAATGGAACAAATAGTTTAACTATTTTTCAAATTTGACGTTACTATTTGAAAACTTGTACGAAAATATAGCAAGTAAGTAACATTTTTGTAACGCAGCAAAGTATATATTTTCCAGGGAACCGGGACAGTAACTTTCATATATTCTGCTGTTATTTTGATGGCTGCTTTTCTATACTTTTGTTATTGCTGTCTATATTGATGTAACAAACAGCGCTCGTTACATCAACGATTTTATCAGTTTTGAAGCAGATTGCGTTAATTAGAATGTATTGTTTACAACTACATGTAATTACAGGGGATTCGGGATGCGATTAGCACTAATCTAGTAGCAAATATTGTACTTGCTTTCATCCGATAAGACCTGAATTGAAGCAGTAAACCGGAATTTGCAACAGTTGCAAAAGCATCACGGTAATAAAGGAAAATATTATTTTGTGAATGCTGATCATTATGCAAATAAATATTTTTCCATTTATAATTGAACTTTTGGTTAGTTTTACAATTTCCGTTTTATGATTATTTGAAAATGTTATTTTAATATTTATGCAGTAATTTTTTTTGTACTAACACTAATACCTTCAGAAAAAGAATTAAAGGAAATGTTTTATTACTCACAGATGTCGATATTTATAATAACATAAATGTTAATCATTCTTTTTATATAACTTTTCACTTATCGCCAATAAATTTTATTTTTTCGTAATCAATCGCATCAAATAATATAACAAAAACTAATTAAATAAGAAACTTTAATGCACTCAGTGAAATTAATCAATCATGTAGTATCAATTTCAAAGATATGACACACCAACTAATTATGAATGAGGCCACTCCTAGATTTACATTAATTTTGTTACCATAGAAGTTTTAGAAGCATGAATGTAAATGTGATATATTGATTTTCTCCATTTTCAAACACATTTTTCCATTAATTTTCATTCGGATCTGCGTATTTATTGTTCGTGATTAACACAACGAATTATCCGAATTACGTGTTTGTACAAATTATGTATTTTATTGTTTCAATTACATTTATAATTACTGTTAATAGAAGGAAAAAGTATAAGATACCAAGCGTTGAGATTGTCAACTTTTAGATTACTAAACGCATTTTTTTATTTACTTAAAATTAATGACAGTTAGTTAATAACTTGCAGCCATCAGAAGAATAGTAATGCAAATTACGCATATTATTTAGTTACATTTGGGTTAATTAAAGTTAGAGTAAAAAATATACTGGAACCTAGATCTGAGACCTTGTGCGTTCTTACTTCCCAGCAAAATTAATCAGGGTTTTGTAAGTTGCAAGATTTAAAATAAACTAATTCAGCAAACATTAATATTTTGTCGATAAAATAAAATAAATTTTACAAAACTATATAATTATAAATCTTTATTTTGTATTCGTTTGGCCATCTGTACTTATATATCTTTATTAGAAACTTCGATTTACTGGTAACCAAAAATGTCCTTATCTCAGTCGTTTTAATGCTGTTATTGTGATATTGTGGACGCAAGTGTGAATGATTACCGAATTTGATGGTAAGAGTAAGAAAAAATCGTTATGGTGGATTAAAAATACAAAATACGAATTATTTTCTGATTGAAAAATCATTAGTCATTTAATAATGACTTGAATAGAGTCACGAGCGCTACCGCCTTAGCTCGAGCTTCAAAACAAACGCCTCTGATCCAAAATTGTATAACTTTATATTGTCAATTTTCGGTTTAAAAAGGACGATATATAATTTTTTTCTGTGTGGAAGCGAAAATTTTGGAAAAGCTGTAATCAGCAGAGAAATATATATTTAATAAAACATTAGATTTTGTTGAACTGCCTTGTAAATCTAGCACTGATGTTTTTGAATGTTACGTCGTTTAATCATAATTAAAATTTATGTCTCTTTTTACAGGCTTCAACATGGTAAATAAGACTAAGAGCGGGGCAAAGTAAAATGGTGAGTATCTAGTTTTCAGTAGAATTTATTCGTACTACATATATATAATTATTATCCATACGAGCTTGTTCGTTACGAAACGCGTTCAACGGCGCATATAAAATTATTGCTTGCAATCAGTTTTTCCACTATGAAAACCGAAATATTTCATCGGTTTTTCTGAATGCCGAAAAATGGTTTCTACAAAATAAGTTTGTTCCTTTCGGCATTTTACCGTCACCTGTGCTCAAAAGCGCTAAAGTTTTTTACGTAAACCACCACAAACTACGAATTAGTAACCAAGTTGTAAAGCTTCAAGATAATTTAGAAATACAGAACCACATTGCCATTCTTCTTTATGAGATTATTGTACAATATAATACAACGCTGGGATTCGCATACAGCGTGAAGACTAATATGAAAATTTTTTGATTAAATAATCTTCTGTTTTATACGAAACATATTTTTTAAATTCTTTTTAGTCCCCCTTTACTTTTATATACTTTATTCTTTCTCCAATACGCGATTCTAGAAATACAGATAATAATTAATACCCACAAGTTTGGTAATATTTCGAATAACATTACAACGTATTGTAAACAATAACCGATTCAAATAAAAATATTGAAAAAAAATGTACACGGGATCATTTATAGCTTAAAAACCATTTCCAACTATTCTAATTCACTAGTTGGTTGAAAAATGTCTTAATTTGAAAATATTCGGGCGTAGAGCAAATTAGGTATTTCCGATATGACTGGAAATTAAAACAGAAGTTTAGGACTTCGTGTTTCTGCGTTTCTCCTTTAAGCTGTTTTTTTTTTAATTTTGCATTAATATCTATAAGGAAATATTTTCCGGTAGAAATAATTTTGCAAATGGAAGCAAATTTTCCAATGCAATGTTTGGCTATTCCAAAAATGTTGTCAATGAAATCTTGGAGTATTTTACAAGAATTATTTACAGTAAATTCCGAATTTGCCTTTAAATGCTCGATGTTTTCGATAAATAGACTAAAAAGCCAACAATTCCCAAGTTTTCTCCTCCTTCTTTGCCATCCTTACCTATTACTAGAAACAAATTAAAATCAATGGCGTCAATTTCCAAAAAATCCTGCACATTCCTAAAATTATATTGCATAGAAGTACATGTTGTAATCTTATCAGGAAAGTCTGCTACTTATTCATAAATTATTTTTAGCAGGTAAAAATGGTGCCATATTTGAATCGATTTCAAAATTTAACGATCAATTCTCAACTGTCTCAGTTCAAATGCGCAATATTCGTTATTCATCTGAATTAAGCAACGTATACATGTGTTGTTATATTGCTTTCTATTGTTGAGGATTCCGAGTTCTTTGAAATCCGAAGATTTTAGATTAAGCTCCAAACATTGTTTATTCACATTCTCTGTGCTTTGTCAGGTAAAAATGGATGTTCCACAAAAATCTATTGAAACGTCCTTTTTAAGACGATTTTTTTTCGGTGTCTCAATTCTTTCTGCCGTCTTAAGGGATGCCAAAAAATACTACTTTTTTATATGTGTTTTATTCTACATTTTCATTCTATATGAAGGTATTTGGAATCTTCATTACAAGATAAAAATGGTGAAACCAACAGGATCATGCGCGTGTCACACTCACCCGAATCAGGTATTGTAGATCCAATTCTGCTGGTAAAAAACCCGCGAATGTTGGTAACACTGACCCCTCGTCCGCTAAAGAAGTGGAAGGACCCTTGCGTAGGCCCCCCTGCGGACTTTTCCCCGTTCAAAGCCACGATTACGACCCCCAGGTACACTTTGATGGTGTCGGTCGGTGTTTGTGACGCGACGCGGCGTCCTCCAGGTGAGACGTTGGAATGAGCGTCCAGGTCAACAAGAAGTCAATTTTGGGGCGGCGACGCTCCGACGTAACGGCGCCGCGACGCCAGTTTTCCATTGGCGGCGAATTGGCCATGTGGGCGGGGCCCGTTGGGGATGCTTGGGGAATAGGGGAGGTTTGGGTAATTTATGAGAGCCTTCTGGGCCCAGAAATGTTATGAGAATAGAAGGCTTTTTTGCGTGCGTGTCCAGTTAATTTTAGAATATTCGATTCGGCTCGAAGGGTAACCGTGTTTTTATAAGAAGGGTTGTGGGTGAGTGCAAATCGTTCTATTGAAATCGAAAGTGTGCAGGGTGGGTCAAATTGGGCACTTTTAAATGGAAACTACCATTCCTATACCAGATGGACAAAAACTGAGGTCGGTGCATGAGCCTCGATCTTTATGACAACATTAATGACGAAAACTGTGTGTCTATATCACTAACAGTTTGAGAGGTACAGCGTCTATTACAAAGATCATCATTTTTGGAAATAATATCTAACTCTTTTCCTGTGATCTTTTTAACGTTTAAGTTTAAGAAAAATTGCCAAAGCAGTTTTCACGATGATGTAAATTTAATTTGCTGTAAGCAAATATTTTTCTGGTTGTTAATGGAAAATAGATTCCAAAAATATAGCACAACCTAGGTTTTGCTCAACTGTTCAATCGAATATAGAGGTTTAATTGTTAATTATTTCAAGTCTAGACTGCGTGTGCGCGCTTTGAACAAGTAGGCTTTGAATGACGAGGCAAATGTCAATGTCAGTAATGGCAGTTGTCAAAGTTTTTCTTAATGCTGTATAGATCCTGCTTATTTGTGAGTTTTATTAGAAATAACGAAATTATTCTGAAATGAAATATGAAAATAATGGGATATTCCAGAGAGAAGACCATCAGGAACGTTTTCGCAAGATTACAATATCATCTAAAAAATTATGGACAAATTTGAGATGAATCGACCAAAAAGATATCATCAAATAGGGGAAGAAGTAGAAGACAGTTAGAAGAAATATCATTATTAGGAACAGTTCAAAATAATACCAAAACATCAACGCGAAATTTAATTGTATGAATCGGTCTGTCAAGAACTACCGTTAGTCGAACTTTTCAAAAATATAATTTCAAACCGTTTAAAAGTAGAAAAGTTCACCATCTCAGACCTGGAGATTTTGGTGGCCAAATGAACGTTTGCCGCTGGTTCCTGGAAAAGTGCACTATTTTCCGTTGAATTGTATTTGGGCAGATGATGCATATGTAAGTAGTGGTAAGTAAGGAAACGTGGTCACAACATAATCTTCATTCAGTTGTTGAGCAGAGAAATCAAGCAACATTTGGGTTTGATGCGTAGGCAGAGGTTTTCAGACATGGAACTATCGCTCCATTGGTTTTTGGTGGTCTTCTAATATCACAAAAAAAATTGGATATTTTAAGGCAGCAAGTAGAACCTTTAGTTGATGTGCTGCTGTTTACGGAACGGGCGAACATATTTTCCATCAAGATGAGGCACGATCCCATAGCGCTGCAATAGTCAAACATTTTTGTCGGAAATTTTTGGTAATAAGTGGATCGGTTAAGATGCTATTCGCTGACCGGCAAAGTCACCGGATTTAACAGCTAGGACTATTACCTTTAGTGGAGATTGAAAAACCTCTTTTTAAAATTCCCTGCAAACTCTATACCAGAGTTACAAATACCAGTAATGCAAGAATCTGCATCTCTCCCCTTCATTGAACTCATTTACTTCTCAGGAAATGTTTAGCAAAGGTGTCTTCTATACAATGGGGAAAGCGGTAGACAGTTCGAACTTCTATTGAAAGGGTGTGTTTTGTTCTTGTTAGTTGAATATACTGTTTCAATAACGGTATATATTTTTTCTTAAACTGTATTTTATTGCTAAATTGGCGGTAGTCATTTAAACTTGAAAAAACTTTAAATCTCTATATTTAACAGAATGATTAAGTAAAACATAGAATGTTATACATGTTTGCAAAGGTACCTGCAAGCTGAAGTGCAATAGGGAAAATATATATAGTGTCCCATTAACAATAAATATTTTCTATTAATAACTAGGAAAATATTTGCATACCGCAAAAGAAACTTACATTGGCGGATACTGCGTGAAAAACTGCTTTGGCAATGTTTCCGAAGAAACTTATCAACAATATGCACGTAGCAAACTTGAGTACCTACCTATATTTAACTATTATTTTACACATTGTCTACGGAGTATTACAACACGTGGGGGGGTATTATAGGAAACAATTTCAAAAGCAATTTATGTTCGGAAGAGACAAAGCGTATTTCCCCCTTAAAATAACTAAAGCGTCGCCCATGGCGTTTTGCAAACGAAAATTCAAAGAACTCCGGGAGTTTGCCCGAAGCTATACGTCCGGTACACTCTTCGTCTTTCTTGCGGTTATTGTTGGTTTCGATTCCGCTTTTAGTTAGACAATCCCTTTGAATATTTCTGTATAAGTGTAGGATTATTTTCATGAATAATGCTGCTTGCTTTTCAGTTTAAAATGTCAATGGGATTTTAATTGCTTCAGTTTTTCAAAAAAAAAAAGACATTTGTATAGCTGTACAAACTGATTGTATACCTTGTAAATAAGAAAGACCGAAGTTGAATTCTTGTGCTCAAATTTGAATTAGGCTGTAAAATATTCTTTTGATTTTAGATGTTTTAGGTGTATATTTCCAAAATGCGATTCAGATATTTTAAACACAAATATAATTATTTGAGGCTGCGTCAGGCATATGAAAATAGCGCAATCCGCATATCTACTGTGATAATTTCTAGTATCTAGTTATGTTAGATATGGACTATCGCAAAAATTAGAAAAAGAAATTAAATTTTCGATGATCAAAAATAATTGAAATAACGTTCTAAACAATGAACAAAGAAACAATGTTTTATTCCTTCCACATTAGTTAAAATATACTTTTGCCTAGTGAAATGCCAAACCATACCTTTAATGATACTTTTATGCCGGGTATGCCGTAACTAATTGTAAAAAATTGTAATTTATTTCTCAATTAGGTCAAAATAATACGATTTAGCATAACTTGCGTTTGAAGAAAAGTCAGCGAAACAGAAATACAAGGGTTCAAAGTTATTTTTCCAAATGGTCTTTATCAAATAACTCGCCAACAACATGATTTTTTTACCAAAATTCACTAAACTCAGCTTTAAGCCAGCTCAAAGAACTTGTTGATAGTCGAGTGTCGAGTGTCTTCGACTTCTAAATGTCAATTATTGTCCTCATAACCTCGAATTTATGTTTACAAATGAACATCATTTGAGTCATTAACTTGAAACAAGTTGGTGCCTGTGTGATCTTCTTATTATCCACTCTTCTCGAGCAGCTTCTCGTATTCGGTCAATTAGCGCCTGCTCAACTTGCACCGTTGTTCAGTAATAGATTGGTTTAATGTGCCCTTGTGCTATGTGTATCTTACATACGTGGTAGGAATGCAGCCCTTCCTCGGTATTTATTTGGTGCTAAAGGTGGGAAAGTGTAAGTTATGCTGCTCTGAGTACCCCTGGAAGGTTCTGCTGCAATTGTGTCCAATATTTGTTCCTCTGTGTCTGGAACCCGAATATCTACTGTCGTCAACTATTTTCCTGGAGACAATCTCTTGTGAGTGTCTCTCACCCTTTGTTGGCGTGAGTTCTTACAGCTTCTGCTATCGTACTGTAAGATTTGCTATTTGCTAGATGCTTAATAACAAACTTGAAATTCGATTTTTAACTGTTCTGTTAAATATCTTCAAGAAATTATGGAATAAAAATTGTTCAATATTCTCTCGTACTACAAGTGAGTCCCTATTACTCATTAAAAGGAATGACGGCAATTTTGAATCACCCTGTATAAATAAAGAGTGCACAGCACCACAAATGACAGAATAAAACAGCAAAACCACTAAAGCGAATGAATTCCTTAGAAAATATACTTTATCATTTCTTGTTATTTCAAACATCTAAATCACCTATAATTAATCTGTTGTTCCACAAAGTATGACAGGAAAGGTTTTGTAACGATTAAAACAGTACTGATTCCGTACATAAGGGACAAGTAAAGATTTTTCATTTGTAAAGCAAACAGATGGTAAAATATTCATGACTTGACACGTCAGACCTGGATATCGATCCAGGGTCCGCTTGACGTGCATCGCTCATGCCTTTCATGCAGCTCTATGTTCAGGTGAAATCGCTCTTTAGCCCAAGAGCAAAGTCATGTAAAAGTAAAAATGTATCATTAAATTCTATAACTCAGAGTTTTTTGTAAGATTCTTCAAGCTCGGTTCTACGCTGAGGTTTTATTTTTTCGGTCAGTGCTAGTTCAATTCAATTAAATTCTTAATTGCTCTTAAACCGTGAATATTGCATTTTGTTAGTAAGTGCATCGATGCACGTAGTATGCGTAAACAAAATTGAAAAATGTATGCGAACACAAAACCTACAAAATTGAATTCGATCAAAAATATAGTCATAAAGCAGAATTGTCGTCAGTTTTAATCAAATAATGAAATTTGCCATTTAATAAAAGTTACGAAATACTTGACTGTGCGATAGTTATACAACTGATCTCGCTATTGTCTTCCATTAATGAAATCGGTGGGAATCATATGCACAAGAACGTTTAGCAATTATTGATGAAAATCTTGATGATGCTTTCGCAAACCACCATTGATAGAATGTAACTTTTAAAAAAATTCGCATTTTAACATTGTTACTTATCATTTGTTTGTCTCATCTTTTCTTTTCGTCAAAAAATTCGGACTTTGGATTTTTCATTTGACGGTGACCTTTCTTCTGCCAGTCCGAACTTTCTTGTGGTGCACCAAGGAGCTCAAACAATGTTCTTGAAAGTTCCTGGTTTAATTCATAATCTTTCCAGATTCCTAATTTTTTTCGCGTCAGAAGTTTTAAAACTTAGAAAAAATAACAGGCATTAATAATCGTTTTTTATATTAATGTAT